TTTTGGAGTTTACTAGGAGTTAATTGATGCATTAGAAAATTAGTGATGTCGTATAACAAATTTACCGGTATTTTACACAGTTTAAATAGGTAACTCCGGCTTCAATAAAATATACATACACCGTCGTACAGTTATTTTTTTTTTTACTTAGCTCGCTCCACGACCGTCGCGCTGGATAATATAAAGCAATAAAATAATTTATAATGAAACTTTTATGATTTACTAGCTGATCCCGTGCACTTCGTGCCCATTAAATGTACCAACTCTATATGACTCATACTTTGTTCAATTCGTTATTTAACAATCGGTGTATGCGGTATGATTCGTAGTGTCATCTCTAATATAATTCAGGCAGAGCCGTTTATAGAAATTCATGACGCTAATTTTAAATATATTTTTTTTATATCATAGTACTACAGTGGTGACTGGTGGTAGCCTTTTTTTTTGCAAGAAATGTAGTTTAGCTTCCAAGCGATTTTTGGAAAAAAAATTTCAGAAATCCACGTATTTCAACTAGTTAAGGCTTAAGAATAATGGAACAATTAGAATTTGTTGGTTGGACTTAGTTTAAAAGTATTATCAGTTTGATGTTCACGATTTTGTAACCGTTTTTGTTATTTAAATTACTTTATTCACAACTAGCTGACCCCTTGCACTTCGTTGCCCATTAAAAATGCGAACTTTATATGTTTCTAACTTTGTTCAATTCATTATTTAATATTCGCTATTCGGTGTAATGGTGTTCAGAACTCAAACATTTTCATCGATCATCTTCAATCTCAAAATACTTTATAACTTTAAAGCACCTAAAATCATAATAACTATTTTATTTTTTGTAACCAGTAGATAAATTATTTGTCCGTGTTCAATAATATTACAAAGCATATTTGATGATATTATTGTGATTAAATTAATTGATTTTACTATTAGGCAATAATACAATAGTAGGTTAAATTCATTTTTGTCAAAAAAATTACCTTTGAAAATGTCATGGTGTCTGTGTGTCAAAAATATATTAATATAGGTACTGTAAAAGTTTTATAAAATAACTAAAAAATTTATTCTTGGTTCTAATATGTAATTTCATTCAAATTTGTACTTATAGTATGTCTACAAAAAATAACTGTATTGTATTCATATATTTTTTTAAATTTTTTAGTTACAGTATGAACTATTTATGAGAATCCTTGCCTTAAATTATCAATCCTTAGATATAAAAGTTAAACATTTTATAAATTTTTACCTACTAAATAACTTATAAATTTTCAATTTGATACATTTTATCAAAATTTGAATTTGAAATAGATACTTATAAAAAAAAAATTGTACCAATGAATCTTTATTATTTATTAACTGCTATTGTAGTTAATTATGAGGAACTTTGTATTAAATGTCCATATCTTAGGTACACAAAAACATGTTGAATGAACATCTGACTACAAAATAATTTGCAAATTGTCGAGATTATGATGATTTTTGTAAAAATTTGAACTTTATATGCCTATAGAAAATTTAAGGGGAATCTTATATGGACATTTCCTATCTTAGATATCAATAGAAAAGTTTTTATACATTTCTAACTAAAAATAATTTGCTTAATTTTTATGAATTTTGTCAATTCAGGGTACTGATCAGTGCAGATCATCTTTGGCACCCATGAACACTATGTTTATAATATAAACTAATTTATTTGTTTACAATTTGTATAGAACTTTAATTTAATTGCATGCATTTTTATACTGATTTCCAAGGCACAGACACATATATCGCAAATTAATTCGTAAACATATTATGTCTAAGTATAACACGGATTACTTTTTTTCATATTTAATTAACGAGATGGACAATTTTTTACATGCATATTTATCGAAAATAATAACGAGTATTTAAGCAAAATGTGCGGGACTTGATTGATGAGCTGACACGTATGTATTATAGTAGGTGTAGCGTTTACACGAACATAATCTATCATTTTATTTGACATTTCCGATGAGGAGCTTAAACGTCCGTCGTTTTTAATAATGTTCAAAGGTTGGATTATCAAAATTAGTGGACGGAATCAGTACCTAACTGAGTTAATGATAAGGCAGCGTGATCAGCTCGTAGTGCTTTTCCGAACATTATGCTAATCTCATCATTAACAAAACGGTATTCATAATAATATGTGTGTATTAAATATATTATGTTCTCGAAGACCGTACTGACACTCTCGAAAAGGTATATTTTCTTAATTATCAAAATGGTATGTAAATATCTTATATCACAGATAACATAGTATTATGATTTCTTTGTATCGAAATAAATTATATACATAATTTATACATTATCTACATATTTATCGTACAACGATATAATACAAATTATAATACTGTTTTGTATGGACTTATTATATTTAAAAAAAAAAATAATGTAATAATCAATAAACATACAAATATTTTGGAAAAACGTGTAAGTATATTATATAGGTACCTAATGTAATAAACGAAATGGATTACAATTTGAGAATATTTATTTACAACAGTTACTTTTATTGAATATAACTATAATAAGAAATTGGCACAATATTTTTTAAAGTTTATATGGCACGTGTGTTGATATAAGATATTATGTAGGTACAATTATAAAAATGTGCTAACATCGTTGATTAATTGAAAAATCCCAAATAATCGATTATTATCAACTTTAAAATTATAAATACATGTATGATTAAAAATTATTTTGTAACCAAATTAGTGTTTGAAAAATGTTACTACCTATATAATAATGGACATGATTATGGATATATTACACTAAAGTTATAATAGTTTTAGAATTTAATTTTGAATAAACATAATATAAATTTCAGATGGCAACCATATTAAATATAACTAAATTGGTTATTAATATCTACATATTATAATTTATTGATTACCTATTTAAAAATAATGAATACCTATAATACGTATTATAGACTATAGTGGTGGTATTATATAATCACCCACATTTAGAGTCGCCAAGAAACAATGTATGTGGATGCAAGAACCAAATTTGGGGAGAGGGTATATATTACTATACAATTTAAGTAGCGTTCACTTGAACTTCTATGATATAGATAGCCATCAAAGCTCTAAGCCTATATAATTTATTTAGCGGGACTACGATTTTACATCGTGGTCTATAATTAATAGTTACAAAAATATTATTATACATTTTTTACATTTTACATCGAATCCACGACGATTCCTACTGCAATTCTAAGAAAAAAAAATTTAAAAATTTAAAAAAAAATACACTCGGGGAAGTCGACTGAGAATATTACTCCATCGTGAATGTCGCTGTCGTCGCCGAGTCTTTGACGATTTAACGATCACAAAGGAATCTCGTTCATCAGTCATCCGTGATATCATTTATACTTTCATTGCATGCAAATGATAAATGGCATTAATTTTCCGCGTGATTTGTTATTTCATTTGTTTAATTACAACCATACTATCGGTATCGTCAGATAGTCTATACCAAAGAAAAGACTGCACGAGTATTTAAAATTAAAAGAAAAAGAAAAATTCTGCAGTATTTAAGCCGACTGTTTTCGGCCGATAATCGAGGAAACGCCGTTGAGTTTTAATTTAATATGCGTTAGTACTTATAATCCTGTAAAGTCAATTACGATATAAATATTAAATATAGCTATCTAAAATATTCTCTGTTCGCTGTAATACAGTACGCCTCGGGGGCGTATTGTTTTCGATTTTAAACTTTCTGATAACCAACCAAAAAAAAAAGTTTAATAAATAATTACTATTAGCCATAAATATTATAATATTATGCTTTTATATAGCTGTTGGCTTTAAAGTCTTATATTAATATTATCCGAGGTAAAATATTTATACTTCTTAATAAAAAAAACGTGGGTTGAAATATTAAATCATTAATTCAATGATAAATTGAAAATTTTAAACTTCGCACGAATGATTAATCAACACAAAATTAATTAAATCTCACAAAATTAATGCGATTTAACTATTCTAAAATAATGTTATGGTTACAGCCTTCAATCAGATATTATAATACCGCTAAATGATTCAATGTGTTGACAAATAACACGGAATATTAACTATAGAGTTTTATGCTAACTATATACCTATTATATATATTTTTTTTATTGAGTATATTTACATTTAAGTTAATTTAATATAGTTATTATAATTGCTTAGCTAAATTACAGTGTTCACATTTTTTTCAAAAGTTAAATGTACATGTTTACATGGTTATCTTATCTTATTTTAAATGTTGGTATCAATACCAACTGTATAATATTATATTATATCCGGCTTACGACTTACGATTAATTTTTTTCAGATCTATTTATAACAACAGTGGTCCTGGGACTTGTGTACTGTAGCTGCAATGGTGCTAAAGGGATAGTCGTTCGGCCATCGATCATCAGTGGTCTGAACTGTATTATTATATTATTATTATTATTATTATTATACACTGCAGCAGGAGCACAAAGGCCATCAGCTCCTTTTGAAGTCTCGACAAAGACCCCATTGTCATGCACCGAGCAGTGAGGTTACGTTAGGTAAGACACAACCCGCCTTATTTATAATATACGCTGCATGATGTTATTAATAATCCACGGCTACCCAGAGACTATAATCTCGGAACACGAAGAGGGACTTACAGCACCTGCAAGCGTAACGGTTTGAAACAAATTGAGTATATGTTTCACGAAATCACCTTACCAAAGATTTTTGTATGGATACGTTTGTCACGGGGAAGGTGAATAATATATATATATACACGTATATACCAACAACGAAAGGAAAACGGAGTCCCTTAATCTTTTGTCCAGCGCGGGGCGGTGGCCCAGTAGATATAATAATATATAATATCTGAGGCCCGTAAATCGGCCGGACGACAACTGCAGGTGGTTCACTATGGTATATACCCGAAGAAGCCAGCATGCGAGTGTGTGAGTGTGCGCGGTCCAAGACTGCTGTTGCCCGCGTTATAGTCGTATGGCCGTCGGAAAAGTTTTGAGAAATTGTTTGGATCCGCTGCGCGAGATCGTAAATCATCAACGGTCCGCCGACCCACCACCCACTCGGACTCGCGCGGGGGCACAAAGGCCTGGTGGTGGAATAAAGTCGTGTGCGATGTGGGCGAGATTGTGGTGGCGTTTGGGTATACACTGCAGCACAATAGTATATAAAGGAGGCAGACCGGAAGGTCAGAAGTTTTCATTGTCATCCGGTCTTCTTCACCGCCAACCATCTCCCCGACCATTTTCCGTCGTCGCATTACGCACACGCGCGTACACATGTGCGACATGGAGCATTCCGAAAGAAAAGGGTTAAAGGTCGGGTAAACGCGATGGCGTTAGCGCGACAGTGCGAGGCGCCTGACACAATGGAAATCGTCGCCACTGTCGACGTTGTGCAGTCGCGTATGGCAATAGTGAACTCGTGTACAGACTATACATACGTAAATGTACAAAATACGAATAATATAATTCTCTCATAAGTGCACTCCGAGAGTGCTTTTTCCAGTCGTTGTGGTGTTGGAACTCCCCCCCCCCACCACCATAACCGAGAAAACGCTCGAACCTGCTACACAGTTAGATATTTGATTGATAAATTTACACTCGATGGGGCACGGTGGTTGTTTAAATATTGTATATATAATGCAGGGTTATCACTAAGCATCTTCACCCCTTTTAAACTTCTCAAATAATGCAGTGGCCTGAGAATATATACAGACATTAAATGTTTTTCAAATGACAGTCACCATTTTCATATGTATTTAGCAGATAATTTTGATGAACATTTCGAATTTAGTTTTTGAATAATTTATTTCTGTGTGCCAAGGATAATGTAGGCCCATGATAACGGGTTTGGAGGATATGGTGACTGTGGTAATTTGAAGATTCTAGTAATTTATATTAATCTATCAACATCAATCATTTTGTATAGATGGTTCAATACCCAAGTATAACAAATTCTAGATCCAATATTATATTTATTACTTATATATATAAAGGTATACATAGATTCACCAGTGTGCAGTTTTTTTTGTGTTATAACTTTCTTTTTTTTTTGTCAGTATTTATGTTACAGGTAGAGATTACCTGTAAATCATTACCACAATCTATATTGTAATTTATTATTTATTAGATCGTTTTGATTTATGAAAAATAGTTGTTTCTGGGTACCTCCTCCTTTAAAAAGTAATTACGTATAGGTACCTACAACGTCGGATTTTACCTCATCTGTCCGAGTAATGGCAACCATATTTATATACAAAAAAATTGATAAATCAGTATTAATTTCAACTATTACTATTGTCATCTGCAATCAATGACAACCATTTATAAACAAAAATGAAATTTTAATTTAACCATGAATCTCAAAATCCTTGTTTGAGGACCTCTTTAAAATTCTAATTTTTGAAAATCCTTTCTTATGTTGGTCTTTACATTATAAAACGAAACTACTGATCAAATGTCATACTCATATATCCAAATTATTTTATAGATTTATTTTTGTAAAACCAGTTTTAAGCACTACTATTATACAATTTTAATAACTGAAACACTTTTCGTTCATTCGTATTTTAAAATTAAAAAAAAAAAATGATCCACTACATAATTTATACTATAGAATGGGAATTCTTATTTCAAAAAAAACAAGTTTGTACCACCACAGGTCACTTTTTAAGTAGTAAGTAAAAAAAAATCTCAAGAATTTAAAAAAAAATGGCATTTAGTTTTAACTCTTAAGTACCTACCTAAATTTAAGAATGCCAAAAATCAGAATTTGAATAAATTGAATAAAATTATTTAATGAAAAAATGTGTGTGAGCATGCTTGGTGAATCATACTATATATTGACAATCTAACATTTATTTATATTAAATACAATGTATTTGTTTGTAAGTTTGTTCTATTGTCATGTGGTACTTTTAATTTTTTTTAAAATAACATCACTACCAAAATCTAGTTACGTATGATAAATTATTATGTTAGGAATAGGTATTGAATATTGTGCGTAAGCTCTCCCAACTCCCTCGTCCACTTACAAAGTTATTTCAATTTTTTCACCGTTAACGCTCTCATTATTTTTGGAAAGGTTTTATTACAAAAAATTCTTCTTTTTTTTAATAAAGCTATAATTGTTCACCGTTTTTCTTTTATTTCAAACCAGCATGAACTTTTGATTTTCTAATGGAAATTCTTGTTTTTTCACTTTTAAAAACCCATAAATTGTTTTTCCCTATGAGGTTAGCAGAGTTTATATTTTGTTTTAATCCTTTTTTATGGTGTAATCCTTTTCAAATTATAGGGATTGTATTAATTTCTCTGTAAAAGCTATTTTGCATTTGCATTATTAACCATAGACTACGCTAAAATAATTCATTCTTACATCATGATTTGTATTTTATAGTCCAAAAAATGTATACGTATCGTTAGAGATGAATATTATGCCTACATATAACGTAATATCATATCGTCCAAAATATAAAAAATTGAAAATAGCACAAAATAAAGTAGATATAATATAATATAATACTGAATAATTTTGAAATTCAATTTCAAACATGGCAGTGTTGGGGACGTCGGGGTAACGGATTTGTAATATCGTTGAGTTGTATACTCAATGGTAATAATAAGTAATATATATGTAGAACAATTGTAGGTATCATAAAGTGTTAAGTATTTTATTATTTATATAACATATAAAATAAACACGAACTGACGTCTGCAAACTGCTAAATGTTTAACATTTTGTTTAAATTGGTTAACTATTCAAACTATTCAAACTACACACATGGTCTTTTTCAAAACAAGAGTTTGTATTATTGTACTAAAAATATGTTTACCCTTTGAAATCGTGGATCCTATCATCGCCTGCAAAGGTGCTAGTACGGTGTGGCGTACGATATTGAAAACTCTAAAAATGGATGCAATAGTGGCATATTGCGTGGAAATGGAGGGATGTGAGCTATTTCAGTCGCGGGCGGCTTGTGAGGCACGAGGGGAAGACGAGGTCCACATTTCGCCCACGACTAAAATTGTGTTCCACACATACTATTTTTTTGTCTCGCCTCTGGATTCGTCGATCACGGCAAAAGTATATTGCAGGCACCTTTGCAATAACCAGTCTATAATTCTGTTTCAAATTTCATGAAGGAACGATTTGGTTTTATTTATTTAGCCTAACATATTATTATACGTCTTAGCAAACTCTCACCAATTCGATGCGTTCATGTAGTTGGAAATATAATATATAATACTACACTGCACTCGCATCCAAAAATTACAGTAATATTGCACGCCGACGCACATCAGTGGACCGTATACAAATCGTTGAAAACAATAAAATAATGATATGCGTATAATAATTTATATAGCCGGCGTAATTATTGTGTACCTACTATGTACCTAAAATATCATTATTATTATATAAGTTAGGTACTTAACATTAGAGCACAGGCAGGTCTGTTTTTCAACTACTGACCAATGAATTTAGGTAATTTTTTTCGCGCGTGGTATATAATATCATTATATACTCTTGTTATTATTATATAGGTGAATATCATTGATGCAGCGCTCAGCCCGGCGCAGGGTCGTTGAATATGTATTTTTTTTTTTACTGACAAGTCAAAAATTAAATTCGCATAAACACACACACACGTACACACGTTTATATTATTTTAAACACAATACACTGAACATTACGAACACCCGGTAAAACGGATGTGGGATATAAATAACAGCAGATTATCGTATACACTATTTACCGACAACGCATAAAATCCAAACGGCGGTGTACGAAAAATACGATTGATAAGTACTTACACGTATATAGGTATAACAACACACACACACACATAAACGTTCAGAGCTATAAAATCGTAACCGATCAAGAGTCACACTCGCCCGCAAACATATACTACGCCATAAAAAAAAAAATAATATATAGATACTACTATACACGTATACATATAAGTATACTTCTCTCCAATATTATATTATTTTTATTACAAAACCATTGATTTTCGAATAGAAAAAGTGTATTCAAAATATTTATAAAATCAACGTCGATACGTTTGTTATTTGAAAGTTGCAAAGTTCATAAGCACGCTCATGAAATAATATATTATAACAACTACTTTTACACTCTTGTATATTTTATCAATTTATTTATTAAAAAAAACTAAATAAATTAAAAACAATTAGTCACTTAATAACATTTTTTTTATTGATTTTATTGATGACATTGTACAGGTAAATTAAGTTAAAGAAAGTGTTTATATTTTTCTATATTTACTCTTTTATGTACATGTTATTATTGTACTTAAAACTGTACTTTTAATACTAATTTTACTTTAATTAAAGAAAATTTATTTTTAAGCTTAAGTTAGTTAATTAAGTTGTTAGTAATCAAGTATTATTAACTTATTGTTCAGAATCTCCACAAATAACATATTGAGACAATATTGGGTTGAAAATCTTCGAAATGGATGATAAAAGTAATTAAATTTGCTTTAGCTCTTCTAATTTTACTTTAATTAAAGAAAATTTATTTTTAAGCTTAAGTTAGTTAATTAAGTTGTTAGTAATCAAGTATTATTAACTTATTGTTCAGAATCTCCACAAATAACATATTGAGACAATATTGGGTTGAAAATCTTCGAAATGGATGATAAAAGTAATTAAATTTGCTTTAGCTCTTCGATGAGTATAGAAACTTTAAATTTCGGTGCAAACAAACAAGTTTAACTGCGGTAATTCTTAAAGCTCTAGTCATCGGAGTATGAAATAGCTCGAGGAGATTGTAAGTTGTTCCATTTTTTCTAAGTTCTCATTATGTATTTAAAAATACTCATTGATATTCTACCATTTATATTATTATTATTACTCTGTAAACAAATTCAAATTTTGTACAGAATTGACTTCAGATGAACATTTTTGTAAAAAAGAACGACTCTTACAAACACTGTGTTACACAGAATCACAACAAAATTGTCTGTACTTAAACATTAATAAATCCTAATCTCCTACAATCCTTCAATATAGGGCAAAATAACAATCCATGTGTTATATAAAACAAATAACTTTTCTCAAAATCGTAATAATGAAAAAAAGTGTCACACGAGAACCATTAACTCACCCGAATACCGAAAAATAAATATTTGTACTTTTTATACTCTATAGTATTATAATATAAAGTTTATGAAATACCGTTAATTTTACATAGGTATCTTCTACGAAATTATTAAAAAAACTTGTTCATGCGTGAAAATAAAACTAATATAAACTAATATAATGAGGTGATATCAAATTTAATCATAACAA